ACGAAATTCTAATTTAAAACAACACCGTTATATGAAATGAAAATTACAACGCCGAATTGTCCGTCATTTCGGCCAACACCGCCGCAAACTCAATCTGAACTACAAACACTTGCCGGTGCGTCGAGTTTTACACGTCTCTGCGCTGTTGTCTGTTGGCTGGTAAGCGTCTGTGGCTGCCTGTGTCTGCCTGTGTGTGTGCCAAGTGTTCTCAGTAAACTGTTCTCACATGCATCATTGCTTGCTGTTGGGAGTTTTATGCGCAAATGTGTGGATGCATGTTTGTGTATGGATATATATGTGAAAGCATTAATGTTCCACATATTCCAAAGCATTCCGCTGTTAGTGGAACACATTGGCAATGGAATTCATTCAAAACAGAGAATTTCTATAAATTTTTTTTTATTTATTTGTACTCTCTTCTGCTCTATTTTTGACGAATATTCGTAAATAGAAATGCGCGTCAATTCGTATAGATAAATAATACATACATATATATATATATATAGATATATGTACAAACATATATACAAACATGCAATAATATATATGTACATGTAGTAATATTTTTGAGTTAATTACTTATTGTTATTGTTGTTGTTGATGTTGCATTGTAATGCAACATTGCGTTTCAATTTTTTTTCACAATTTTCTTTTAATTATTTTTTTTTTCATTTTTGTTCTCCTTTTTTTGCGCTTCGTGCTTACTTGAATATCATCAAAATCATAGACAATAAGTTTACTATGTGTAAGTATGTACGTATGTATATCTGTGTGTGTGTGCTCGTCGTTGCGTATGAGTGATCATCGCTATTCTAGATATATATACATACGTACATCTGTATGTTAAATTTAGCACAGTGTAGCAAATTAGTGTATTTCAATGTCAAATTAAGCGGAAGGAAATATGTGCACACATACATATGTATGTAGTATGTATGAGGTGAGAATTTTAGAAAGCTGGTGAAACGTGAAAATTCACCCAATCGAAAATAACTGAACTTTTCAGTTCCACACAGCGCCCAAAAAAGTCATTCTTCGCTTGGTTTCGAATATTCCAAAGCACAGGACAGTGGAGGATCGTCGACCAAAGCCGCTCAACTTAACTGATTGAATTTGTCAGAGGGAAAGACAGAATGCGAATCAGGGCAAAAATTAGAGAAAGTGAGAGCGAGACAGAGAGTTTGAGGACGCGAGAGCGATCGAAAGAGACAGTAGGGGAGAGGGCGAGAGGGAGAGGGAGAAAAAGCGAGTGAGAGAGATCGGAAGAGAGAAAATAAGAGAGATATTAAGAAAGTGAGAGAGAGTTTCCCAAACCCACAAGAATCGCATGAAGTTCACAGATCGCTGCTTTCCGGCAGCATTGGAAGCTCTTCGCGGCGTTTTTGGAAGCTTGGACAGTGCTCACTCCACAATCTCAGTGCGCACGGCTTTCCAGATTAGCATTTTCCTATATATTCGATAATGGCAGATCTTTTTCGGGAAGCAAAAAACCTCCAACTCCTCGAGCTCGCGCCTACCCTGCTCTTTTTTCCCGCCCTGTCTGCAAAGGTGTTCCTCCTTTTTTCTCTTTTCTTTGTAGTTTTCCACATGCTTAACAGCGCTCTTTTTAATAGGCAGCACAGTTCGCTGTGGTTGCCTCTCGCCACGCCTCATCGAGCTATAGATTCCGATTCAAATCAATGGGATTTTCAGAGGCAGAATGCTTGTGCTCCCTAAATTCCGCCTGCATCATCTCCTATCCTGATATTGTGATGGTGGATCAATTCCACTTGGTGAAGGGGTGGCTTCGGCCGTCCATTATGTTTGTGCTTTCGTTACGCACTGCGTGGTCACATCCGTATCTGTGGCTACAGCAAGATAGTGGTCGGGATCAACGAGTACTCTTCAAAACGCTCGATCGTAAAGCCCCCTTGAAACATGCCTTCGGTCAATGATCAATTCGATTGTGTGTTCGTTGTACAGGAGGGAACCATAAGTCAGGTCTGGCTGTCGAATTACTTGAGCTGAGTGCTGCTAACTATCACGACTCGAATCGACCAATGGTAGGATTAAATATCTTCCTTTCCTTCCATATTTGGTATCGGGGTTAGTAGATCTGTTGAAAAAGAATATACCCCATAGAGAGCACCACTAAAACCAACAGCACAATCGTTTATGTATTGGCACTACGAATATAGCAAGACTATATGTGATGCACATGCATCGACAGAAAGAAGTGCGCTATCCATGCCAATGTGTAGACTAGAACCGAAGCGCTCCAAAGAGGGCAGAACGCCGACAAGCCCGCCAGTTCATAGACCAGCCGTTGGAGCCAAGGTACAGAAATACAGATTTCTGAATAGCATGTATGGGATGGGGAGGAGACGAGCGTTGCTCTCGCAGACCGAAGACCCCAAATTAATTCTGTTGGATATGTGGGCATTGCAGTATAAGCCCATGCCAGTGAATTCGTCAGCTTATACATATGTACTCAGCGCTTAAAAGTATCGAAGAGAAATCGTCGTTGACATTCTATAGAACCAAAAATCAGACACAAAGCGCTTTTGTAACTATTTACTATACGCAACAATAACCACAACAAAAACAACAACGCCAGCCAAAATGCTAATCACAATGAACGCATACGTCAAAAAATGCAACACCTACAATTACAACAATAACAACAATAAGTGACTTAAATGACAATTGAGACAGGTAATCATCGACGACGACGACGGCAAGACACAAAGAGGTCGAGGCGGCAAAGTGGCTGAAATAGGCAAATATTTATATGCATATATGTACATATACGAGTATGTATGTATGTATATATGTATGTATGCAGCCAACTGGCAGAAGCAACATTGTGTGGGTCTTTTGAGTTCCAATCCTTCACTGTTGTACGCCAAAGCGACGGTGTTTGGTGGAAGAGTTATTGTGCTGAATGCGCGTGCATGCGTGACGTACGAAAAAATGAACAGCAACAACAATAATAATAATAACAAAAATGAATGAATAAAGAAAATTATATGTAAATTTTTCTATATTTACAATAACAATGCATATATATGACTTCAGATTGAGCCTGATTGAGCAGGCAGACACAGAGAAGTTGCGAAAAGTTATTGCAAAATTTGTATTTACTTATTTATTATTTTTTTTTATAGAAAAAAAATAATAATTAATATTTAATTAATTAAAAAAATAATAATAATAATATTATAAAGCAATGTTTATTTTTTTCTATTAAAACTTTAACTCTACAAGAATTTTTGTTGCAGCAACATGTTGCTACAATATAGTAGCTTCTGCTCAGCTTTACATACACATATGCGTATTTACGCATGAATGTGTTAAGTGGGAAGGGTATACAATGGAAATGAACCGCAATTCGCTCTCAGTGAGTTAAAGTATGGCTCAAACACACATACTCTTATACAAACGTATGGGTTTGGTGGTTGAAACACTGATAAAAGTGTGAGAAAGTTTGCCGGCTGTGTTTGTTGCGTGTTGCGTATAGTTGAAGTTGTTGACACTCCCGCATATTTTCTTAGCATTTTTGTTTTGATCCGACTGTTTTTGTAGGAACAGCTGACTATTTTTCTGGTGTTGTTGGCGTAAAGATATGCGAATAAATGCTTGGGTAGTAGTGAAAGTAAAGGAAACGTGCTTTAAGTTATTAATACTATTTTATTTTATTTAAATTTGTATTAATTTAATTTAATTTATCTTATTTAGTGTGAATTTTATTTATTTAATTTCTCATTTTATTTGGTTTTCATTTTCATTTTATTTAGTTTTTTTATTTTCTTTTTTAATTATTTTATTTGATGTATCTTTAATTTTATTTCATTTTCATTTTTATTTTATTTTGTATTATTTTTTTTTATATTAATTTATTTTTTCCTTTTCATTTAATTTAATGTTATGTCATTTTCAATTTTTCTTAGTTTTATTTTATTTAATTTTTATTTATTATATACAATATTTTAAATTTTTTTAATTTAATTTAAATTAACTTATTTTTATTTTGTTTTCCTTTTTTTATTTATTTCAATCTAATTTTTTTTTATTATGATATTACTATTAATTAAGATATAATATTATTTTATTTCTTTTTAATTTTATTTTACTTTTTTATACTTTTTTTTAATTCATTGAATTTGTTTTCTTTAATATTATTTTTTTTTTGTATATTTGGTTTTATTTTATATTAATTCATTTTATTTTATATAATTTATTGTTTTTATTTTATTTTATTTTCCTATTTTTTTTATTTAATTTAACTTAATTTAGTTTTATTTTATTTTACCTTTTTCCTTTTATTTTCTGATTTTATTTTTATTTTATTTTATTTCATTTCCCTTTAATTAATTTTTTTTATTATTTTTTTATTATTTTATTATGTTTGAATTTATATTATTTATTTTATTTTATTACATTTTAATATATTCTTATTTTATTTTACCTTTTTAAATTTTTTCAATTTCATTTTTTTTAATTTATTTTGATTTATTTTTTATATTTCTTTATTTTAATTATTTTTTTTTAATTTCTTTTGTTTAATATTATTTTACTTTTTTCTTCTTTATTTCATGTAATTTTAGTCTGTTTTTTTTAATATTTTTATTTTTTTACTTCTTGCATTTTATTTCTTTTTTTATTTATTTTAATTTAATATAATCGTATTAAATTTTTCATTTTTTTTGGTATTAATTTCTTTTATTTTATTTTATTTATATTTATTTCTTATTTTATAACAAAGCAGCCTAATTGTAGGCAATATTTTCATTTGCTATATAAAATATTTACGGCTTTCAATACATATTTGAGACATGATAGATGATGTTGTAAGACTATGGTTCTCGAGTTTTTGTGGTATGTTTTTAAATGACTTCAACTCGAAAATTAGATATTAAAATTAAAAATTGATTTGAATCTCTCCTAAATATAGGCTATTTTTTATCAAAATAGTCTAAATCACCAATTTTGTATAGAAAGATATTCTCGACTCACCTAATTCACTGTAGAGTGTTGTGTTTAACGCTATATCCATCGGGCATGTATCTGAATCTTCCGGCTCCTCCGGCAACGTAGGTGGACCATCCCACAACGATTTCGCGGGTCGACGTACGCGATCTAGTCGAACACGTGGGTATTCGTTGAAGAGAACGTCCGTTAACTGTTTTTTGAGAGATATAATGATATTTGTATCAAAATTTGTTTCGAAATCTAAAAACTAAAATATTTTAGAAAGTTTAGTAACTGAATTAAATAATGATAACTGTGACAAAAATTAAAAAAAATTATGAAAACGAAACATACTACTGTAGCCAGTCGCGTGACATGGGCGACTTAATTAATTTTTTCCTTTTTAGAGAACTACAAACTAAATATTTTCAAAACTTATAACAATTAAAGAAAACATGAAAACAAGGTAAAAATGATTTTTTAATTTTATACTTTTTTTTACACATTTTTCATTTTACCCACCTCTTTTTTAGGTGTTGCCGGGAAAATCTACAGGTTAGCATTAATTTTTTAAATTTTTAGTGGTTTTGTTTTAGTTTTTTATATTTATATTTGTTGTTAAATTTTGTGATTTTAGAGTGTATAGAGCAGTTAGTGGTGAATTTTGATTATGGTGCGAGTGGTGTATTTTTTTTCAATTGTGTTCAAAGAGAGAGAGAAAGCGAAAATGAGAACAATAGCAATATTTCAGCATTAGTAAAAATGACATTAGCGTTATTTTAATTAACTATTTCTAAATATTTGTAAGCAATTGTTGAACAAATAATTTTTAATTTTCCACTTACCGATATCTCCTCACTGCAGTATGCTGTGAAAGATTGCTCATCTTGTTGCAGTACACAGTAGAGAGGACTCCAAGGCAGAGTTTTATGTTTTCGTGTAAGTTCGCCCTCGGATTCTGCAAGAAATAAAAATATGTTTCATGAGAAACGTTATTACAACAAATAAAGTTACGTATTTTATTAACTTTTCTGAAAATAAAAATTAAATATGTATTTTTTTATTAAACCAAGAAAAGTAACAAAACTAAGTAAGAAATCAAATAAGAAATTGAGAATAACACAAAATGAAAGTAGAAATATTATAAAGAAAAAAATTTAAAAGAAACAGGAGGCGAAATATCCCTAAATTATATCAAATAAAAAAATAAATATCATACAAATAAATAGGATAAAATAAAATGAGATAAATAAAGTGAAAAAAAGAATAAATTTAATAAAATAAAATAAGCCAAATTATTTTAATTTGTATTAAATAAAATTGAAACAAGGAAAACACAATTAAAAATAATAATAAAATTGAATTTCTTACTTATTTTAAACAAAAAGAAATAAAATCAAATTAAATTCAATAAAATAAAGTTGAATTAAAAAAATGAATTAAATTACACAAATAAAGTAAAATATATGAATATATAATAATTTCATATAAAATAAGATAAGATAAATAAATAGAGGAAATGAAAAATTAAATCAAATTAAAAGAAGTAAAATAAAATATTACAAAATTAATATAAACAAAATAAATAAAATAAAATAATGTAAAATAAAATTAAATGCAATAAAATTATAATATAGTATAAGATAAAATAAAATCAATTTATATTAAATTTAGTAAAATCAAATAAAATTAAATTTAGCAAAATTAAATTAAATTAAATATAATGAAAACTTTAAATACGGAAAATATTATAAAATAAAATAAAAATAATATAAACTAAGAATAAGAATAGCCAAAATTGAAGGAAATTTAAAAAATGTAATAAAATAAAATAATTAAAAATTAAAAAGTAACTAAAATAGTATAAAACAGTTAATATCAATGTTACCATTTAGTTAATTTAAAATAAAATGAACTAAATTAAGTTAACTAAAATAAAATATAAAGAGAGATTTAAATTAAAAATAAAGAGTAAAATAAAATTTTGTTATATTTAATTAAATTAAATTAAATAAAAAGATTAATTAAAAAGATTAATTTATTTTATTTAAATAAAATGTAATAAATTAAATTAAACTAAAATAAAGGCAAGTTAAATAAAATAAAATTAAATAACTAAAAATAAAATAATTTAAAAAAAACTAAATAAATTCAAATTAATGCAATTAATTAAATTAATTGAAATGAATCAAATGAAATAAGTGAAAAAAATTAACATCAAATAGAAAAACCAAATAATTAAAGTCAAATTAAATGTTATTAAAATTTAATTATTAATTAGTAATATTATTTTTTATTTTTTACAAATTCACTGCATTTATTATATGCTTTATTATGTTGTCGGAAATGGAAATATTGTATGTATAATTGTAGCAGCTCTGAATTGCGCCATCTGACGGCATATTTTTGCATATCAAATGCGGCTCTTTACATGGTAGTTTAGCTCAGACACAAGCCAAGCCAACTGGTATAAACTGGAATTGGCAAAGGCAGCATAGGAAGGGAATTTTTTGCCATTAACAGAGGCAAAATTGAGAAAAAATAAAGAAAAAATCAAGAAATTAATTAAAAAATACAACAAAAGCAAAATATGTAAAATAAAATAGCATTAAATAAAGTAAAAATTGTTAAAATAATTCAAAATTTAATTAAATAAATAAATAAAATAAATTAAATTAGTACTAAGGCTAAGGCAAGGGAAATAAATATACGTAAATAAATAATAAATCCTTCCCATCCATAAAAGTAATTAATTTAATTTTTTTTTTTAATTAATTTTGCATTCTATGTTTACGCCAACGAATTCACTTTGTAACTAACTTATTTCGTAAAAAAACGTATCACGTAGAACGTTCGAACGCTTAGCTTAGCTTAGGGACAAAATAATTAATACTTTGACTTTTTTGCCTGTTCCAATTTGGATCCGGCGTGACTTCACATTAGCGCCTTCTGCCTTCTGATTATACTTACTATAAAATATTCATAATATGCAGTGAATTTGTAAAAAGTAAAAAATATTATTAACTAATATTTAAATTTTATTTCCATTTAATTTAACTTTAATTATTTGGTTCATCAATTCAGTTAATTTAATTGTATTAATTTGAATTTATTTGAATTTTTTATTTATTATACGATATTATATTTTACTTTTAGTTATTTAATTTTGTTTTATTTAACTTGCCTTAATTTTAGTTTAATTTAGTTTATGACATTTTATTTAAATAAAATAAATTTTTTTATATAAATCTTTTTATTTAATTTAATTTAATTAAATCTAACCCAATTTTATTTTACTCCTTTATATTTAATTTAACTTAATTCAATTACATTTAATTTTAATTTAATTATTTTTACTCTTTATATATTATTTTAGCTAACTTAATTTAGCTCATTTTATTTTAAATTAATTAAATTTTAATAATGAAATTAATTGTTTTATACGATTTTATTTACTTTTTCATTTTTAATTATTTTATTTTGTTACATTTTTTTAAATTTAATTTAATTCTGGCTATTCTTATTTTTATTTTATATAATTTTTATTTTATTTTATAATAATATGGAAAATATTTAAAGTTTTCATTATATTTAATTTAATTTAATTTTATTTAATTCTTTTATTTTCTCTTAATTTAACTTATTTTATTTTATATTAGTTTATTATATTTTATTACATTTTACTTTATTTGTGTATTTTAATTTGATTTTATTTTGGTTTATTCTTTTTGTTTTATTTTACTTAATTTTAGTTTATTATATTCTTTAATTATGTTTTGTTTGTTTCAATTTTATTTAATATAATTTAGTAAAAAGCTTTTATTTAATTTTTTATTTTGTATACTGAAGTCTCTCAGCAACTTTAATACTTCATATCGGATTTGAAAATTAAGAAATAATGGTTTTCCTTATAAATTAATAAAATTTATAAATTTAATTAAATCAACCAAAAATAAAAAAATAAAAATGGGCTAAAATAAAATAAAATAAATTTTTTGTAAACAACAAAAAAATGTATTTTATTTTATTTTGCCACAATTTTCATTTTATTTTACTTCATTTATTATTAAATAAATAAAATTGGGTATAAATTCATGCAAATAACCATAAGGCAGAAACTAAATCAGGTCAAAGTGTTTATATTGCAGATTTATACCAATTTTTTTCTTTTACCATTTTTTTTCTCAAAGCGCATAAACAAAATTTGACAGTTGACTGCATACAAAAATGCCTATGAAAATTGTTTCCTGTTTATTTAGCATGTCAAGCCAAGAAAAAAAACGCTCATTACATGCAGCCAAACAAATAGAAATTTTTCAGTAACGCAGCTAAGCAGACAAAACGGCAGCCAGTCAGTCAGTTGCCAAATGAAGATGCAATCTGTGAATTGCCACCCACTGGCGAAGCTATTAAAAATGCAGCCAATAATTGTAAATCTATACAAGCGTGTATATATATATATATGCATATACTATAATGGGGCATTACTAATCAATCCATCAATCGTTTAAATATTGAGCATAAAATTCTGGTGCGAATTTATTTTGGGCATTTGGAATACGTTGATTTATAGAGCGAAAAATATATTTTCCCCGCGTGCGCTAATTTGGTGAAAAAGGTAATTTAGTTTCAATAATTCGCCTAACGGTTTTTGGGCTTTTATACAATTTTTTCATTTATTTTCTAAATATTATTAATTTTTTTTCCAATCTTGTTTCATTTTATTTTATTTTATTTTATTTTATTTTATTTTATTTTATTTTATTTTATTTTATTTTATTTTATTTTATTTTATTTTATTTTATTCTATTTTTTTATTATGTTTTAAATTATTTTATTTTGTTTTTTATTCTATTTTATAGATAATTTAATGTTTTCTTTTTAAGCGCGAACTCACTTTTAACTCTTCTCTCCAGTCTGCGTAGCAGATTTGTGTTGCCGCATATTCTGATTAGCATAAAATAGTGATTGTTTTTGTAAAGTACCGCTAAGGAACATTAAGTCCATGTACAATATGTATATGTGTAAATATCGTATGCAGCTCCGACTCAGTGATTATGGTGAAGATATATATATTTTTTTTTATTGTTGTTGTTGTTTGGCGGTTAAAACAAATTAGTTCTGCTTGCTTACTTGCCCACTTCAATATCTTACATATGTATATACGAGTGTACCAACAAACATATTTGCGAACACTCAACCATAACTTGGGCACTTTAAGGTATGTTTATATGTTTATACATATATATATATGTATGTGAATATGCACGATGGTACTTTGGCATGAATAACTATGTTTAAAGCTACATTTGGTTATGGTAGCATTGTTGTTGTTGCCATTACTGTTAATTTGCTTAGCAGTAGCCAACGCCGTTGGCCATAAAAAATGGACAAATTATTGTTAGTTACCCTATAATTCATATATGTATGTATGTATTTATATACATCGTGGTCATCACTCTTATGGCACGTACCAAGTTAACTGTCTAGCTTAATGTATGTACATATTATATACGTATCATATATATATACATACATGCAAGTACAAGTGTTAAAAGGTACATAAATTTGTTTGTTATTTTATTAACATTATTATGTTTTTTTCTGCTTCGAAAAGAATATTGAATGTATACCAAAATAAAAAAGAGGCCAACGACATTTTGCAAATCAGCAAAATTACGGTAAAATCAGAGATCTAATTACAGCACGAGTATTGCTTACTCCTGTACACAAAAAAAGAAAAAAAAAATAAAAAAATAAAATTATGATAAAAAAATTAAACTAAAATAAAGGCGAAAATGAAATACAAAAATTAAACAAATCAAACAAAACCAAATTAATTTAAATAAAAAAATCAAATCAAATAAAATAAAACAAACGAAAATTAAATTAATGAATAATTAAAAAAAAAAATATAAAATAGCACAAATTAAAATAAAATAACATTAAATAAAATAA